TGATTACTACAGAAAGCATATACAGGATGTTAGCAATGAAGCTTCTTCAACATAATATGGAACTGTGATGATGGACTTCTCTGAACAATCGTGGACGGATGGCAGCTAACAAATTCACTCAAAATGGAAACCAGTGTTAGGGGAGGCTGCTTACTCACAGACATTCTTTTTGTGCTAGTAGCCGACAGGATTATGAAGACGTCAATATCCGAGGGAGGCTCGAGGTACACTGGACAGTTCCGAGGGAACTGAACGATCTGGACTTCACAGTTGATCTAGCCGTTTTATCCTGCATACCGCAACAAATGCAGGAGAAGACGACCGGTTTAGCGGCAACCTCTGCAGCACTGTGTCTCAGCATTCACAAAAGAAGAGGCAAGATACTCCAGTACAACGTAACATGGACCAGCCAAATTACACTTGACAGAGAAGCTCTGGAGGATGTAAAAACCTTTACATATCAGGGCAGCATCATTCACGAGTAAGGTAATAGAGATCGGAAGGCGCAGATTTGCAGGGTAAGGGCAGCATTCTTTAGACTGGAGAACGTCTGGAACTCAAAGCAACTATCGAACAACAACAAAATCAGAATTCCAACACAAGACAAGACAATTCTACTGTATAGGGTGAAACTTGAAGACTACCATAGCCAACATCCAAAAAATATACGCATTTATAAACAGATAATTACAACAATTTATTCTCAAATAACTACATGTTACAAGAGGCATGCTGATTAACAGGCAAGATCAATATGTTAAGGTCGCTAACATATTCTTTGTAAAACTTTGCTCAGTTACTGAATTATTTCACGAGATACATTGGCTTCATAAGCATGGCTAAAATTTTTCACATAAAATTGCAGATAATTTTCCAGACTCTGCAATGTACAGTGCCAGTAACTGGCGCGAGTCACAACAGTTACGTTACGAAGAACTGCCAATGACTGCGAGACAATGCATGATAGAGCCAGGTCTGCATATAACAAGAATTGATGAGGTAAATGTGCTAAGATCTTGTTCATATTCTTCAGATGATAAATTTCAGGCTCCTAGGTAAATTAACTAAGTCTCCGGCAAACATCCAGACTAATATTTATGGAATGGAATAAGGTGCTGAAAAAGAGCAATAAAGAGAGCGAGGAGAGCAGTAGAACAGAAAATATTCATGTTTAAAACCGAACAATGACCCAGCAGATACTTTTTCAAACTCGAACACTACTGTACACCTACACTTATATAGGTTAATGAAGACAAGTTACTAGTGAGATAACGAATGGGCAATTAATCGTATCAATAGAGGAAATTCAGAAGAACCAAACTGTTAGCAATAATGCTGATGTACAGAATATTATAATGAGTCACAGTGATCTGATGTTTTTGTGGTACTTTTTATTCTTTTTCTTTTCAACTCTTTAGTTCAAGAAGTTATGAGTGAGCTCTTTTTCACTATAATTGTCTTGATCTGCTTGTAATAGGATTTCTTGGTAGCGAGTCAAAACAATTGCAAGGGTACGTATTTTACGGAGTGTCCGTTGGCTAGGCACTATGAGCAACAAAATATTGTGGGAGGGAACAAACTAACTTTTGTTTTAGGAGGAAAATAGGAAAAGACGCTGGAAATGGATAAGAAGCATTTTGACAGAAGCACCCAGTTACCTCACAAGGCAAACCCTGACTTGACATCCTCGAGGCTAAAAGAAAATCAAACATAAATTTGCCCCAAGAATTAAAAGCGTACATACAAATTGGGCAGAGCCGGAATGGAAGGCCCAGGACAGAGTAGGTTGAAGAATGCTATACAGCCGCCCGTGCTTCTTTGAGGGTAACGGGCATAAGAAAATAAAGTTAGCTATCGCTGATGGACACTTGTTAGGTTATTTGGTAGTAAACACGATATAAACGGGGATGTTACTGAGCTAAAAGCATCGAAAAATAAAGACCATGCTCCTTTACAAATTTGTTCGGATGTTTTGTTCTATCTTCACGCATTTTGCTGTGGCCAAATCTGTTCGTATACTGTCGTTCTGGTTCTAAAAAAATTCTCAATGCCACAGCTCACTATGGTACTCGTAACTTCCCCAAGATATCGAGATATCTAATGCAGTGTGATCATATACAGAAATAGTCGACTGGCTCTGGAGAACTTGGAACTACAATCGGTACAATTTAAAAACATGATTTCACTGAACCTGTACAACGTATAGAAAATGACATAGCTTGGTTGAACATTTGATAATAAAGCATCTGATCTCCTGGATCACATCGTACTCCACTAGTAAGTGAAAGTTATTATAAAGCGGGAAGTTTACTCAACTATGGATTCTCTCTTTGTTGCTTTCCTGCAGTTGTAACACTGAAATGGAAATTAACTTACATTCTAACGACAGAACGTTTTTCCATTCAGAAACTGGTTATCAAAAAAATTAGCTAACTCACTGGCATCATTTTTCGTCTGCTTTCCGTATCCTGTTCAATAATTCAAATGAAATTAGTGTCATCATGTAGGGCCTTTCTGATGGCTCAGAAAGAATCCTCATAGCCTCACCGTATCCTTGTTTAGTGGTAAAAATTTGCAAAGCTTAATCGAACGTACTGGCAATAAAAATAAACTAACGCCTTCTCTTCACTACAACCTTTATCTGAAGACATCACCTTCTCCCTTATTGTAACTGAGGTACTCGTAAGAATCTCCATGAAATAACCTGGGTTTTAAATGTGCACTACCAGCATGATTATTTGAACATGGCTATGCCCCTGCATCACACCTTTCAGTCATACTGTCTAACGGATTAAAAGTATTATTGCTGACATCATTTAGATATCATGCCAGATTCTAACCCCCTACGTCTTTTTATAAAGCTAATCATAGTGAAGCAATCCGATTACTGGTGTTTAACTGTGTCCAACAAACTGAAGACACCTTATCTAGCATAAAACCTAAAATCAGGTAACTTCATCCGCCAGTTCTCTTACGTGCAAAAGCTTGAATTTAACTTCCAATCAAAGCATAATATAAGTACTAGTTTTTTTAAATTGTAAAATTTGTATTTGTTTCAGGCTGTACTGATGAAATAAGTGCAAAGTTACATATCAGGTCGTTCAAACTTGGTAAATATGATAGTTTTTCGAGGCAGCAGATGCCGCTTCACAAAACCGATGATACATGTGGCGGTTAAGCTGTTGACTAAGCAAGAAAGCTTCCCACAGAATAATGACAATCTACAGATCAGATGGAGCAGTTAACATACTTCGAAGCAGCTGCTGTCATCAGTCCAGCTATATAAGTGAAACTTTCAACCTCGCTGACGAGAACAATTTACTATTGAAAAAATTCATGCAAACCAAGAGGATTTGGAATCTATTTTCCTGTTGACCTCAGTCTGACTGATGTCACTACGAGACCGTCTGCAGAAAAGGAAATGTATGTGTACCATAGAAAAAATAAGAAAAACCTGATACTGAAAATTTTTCATACTACCGAAATCTGGGGCTAAACAATATCTGAACTTCTGTGAGTAGTGTGAAAAAGTTTTCGATTGGATTAGCAGTTGACTGTATTCGCGTTCTCAACCTACTTAATAAAATGACTGAGTCTACAAAAACTTATTAAACAAGAAAAACCTTGACGTAATTACTGTGCAGGAAATATAGCCACAGTCAACATCCTGTGGCAGTGAAATACAGCTGTTTATCCTCTGGATTATTGGAGCCAGCGGATATAAACGCAAGAAAGGTGACGCCACTCTGAGCTTGAGAAGCGCCATGAACATACGAATAGTCCAGACAGTATCATATGATTAAAGTTGGATTGTATGGGGCTTGTTCATAGATGTTAGTTCATCTCCGTTCCAGATTAATAATGAATGCATTCTTTGTATGTTACTGACCGAAGATAGCCGTTATTCAACGCAGTTATTACACGCTTCAGTCTATAATAAGACTGTCTTTCACAGCATATTGTTTCTTTGATTGACTGGGTAAGGAAGGTATTCATATTCCAGGAAGAGCATATGGTACAGTGGACACTGTAGATGTATCTAGACAAATCAGCCTTTCCAGAGAGCATTTTTCCTTTCTTTCTAATACACAGCAACAAAAGTTGGCAAATACCGTGAGCGATGCGGTTCCAGAGAAGGTAGAATCTCGTACATACCTTGTCAGTCTCATTATAAAACAGGAGTATCTGATGCAGGTGTGAATTCATGGATCTGAAAAGCAAGGGAAAAATTCCTATGGGCATTAATAAACAGCTAATCAAGTAAAATGCACAGGATCTCTTCACTAGATATCATCAGCAATAACCTACAATAGTAGACAAAGAACCATTTTCCAGGTGAGGAAGAAATTAAGAAAACACGCTGAAGGAGGGTAGGACTTACTTTTTGGACAACTTGAAACTGCAGTACGAAGCCAGTCCAAAGCTGCGATCGTCTAAGCACAAGGAAGATATTTAAAATTATAGAAATATGTCACCAAAAATCAAAGACAGACAGCGAAAGAATCAACTGTGTCAAGCAATAGCTGGGAAGGAGGATCTCGCGTGGAGTTGGTTGGGACTTACTTGTTCATTCAGTAACTGGCTTAAGTATGTCACCAAGTCATTACTCAGGATAAAACGTTGCTATCCAACTGTAGATTTTAGGATTGGTACATTTTTTCCAGTTTCAAAACAAAAATTGTGATGGGACACGGTGGAAGATTTGCTCTTTAGTATCACATATTTGATAGATGACGAATGACTTTCGATACACATAGCAGTGCCTAAAATTTATTGAGGAGGTAGATCAGAATGAATTATTTGATATAGATTCTTAAATTCACCATATTTTTTGTGGGATACTTTCACCATTAAGATTAATATGATTTACAATTGCACTATTCCGATTAACACAACCTTTCGTCCTAACTTTAAGAGACAGATAATCATTCATAAACAAAACAGACCCTATTTTTAATTTAAAGCTAATTTGCAGATGATTTTTCTAGATAAATTCAGTACTCTTATTCAATTGCTGAAATCACACATTGTCTCTTGAACAATCAGCCCTGCTTTGTTCGTACTGAGTCTAATTAGGGCCGTTTAAGTTTGTCCGGCTTACTGGATTAGCCTTTTGAATTCAACCAGCTCATCAAAGATGGCTGAAGACAAGGGTAAGCCAAAGGGTGCAATGAATGCTTACGCAGCCTTCTTGCAATCTATGCGAGCTGACCATAAGAAAAAGCATCCTAATGTAACACTGGACTTCAAGACTTTTTCGAAGGAGTGCTCCGAACAATGGAAGGTATGTTTTAAGTTCTCATTGCTTATTGCTTCAGAATCTGTCGGCTAAAGAAAAAAAGAAGTTTAAAGACCTAGCAGATAAAGACAAAGAACGTTATCGATGTGAGATGGAAAATTATGAACCTCCTGCCGACGAAGGCCGTAGCAAGAAAAGGAAACGAGACCCAGATGCACCTAAAAAGGCGTTGTCCGCATTTTTCCTCTTTTGCAATGATGAGCGACCTAAAGTTAAATCGGAAAATCCTGACTGGAAGGTCAGTGAGATCGCTAAAGAATTGGGCAAAAGATGGGAGCACTGTAAAAACAGAGCCAAATATGAGAGCTTAGCCCAAGTAGAAAAACAGCGATATGAAAAAGTATGTTCTTTTTAAATGCTTTTACACTTTATTCTAGGCAATGCAAAAATACAAAGCCGGTAAAAAGTCCAAGACAGAGGATTCAGAATCCGATGAATAGTCCCTTACGGTTTAGAAACTAATCTTTGACGTACAATTGTTGTATACAGATGGTGTTATTTTATATTGTCTACAGATGTTTCTTTTTAAACCTAATGGGCCGTCCTGCATTTGTAAAACGATGGCTACTGTAACATTTTTTACCAAATACACTGTTTATAAGCTTTTCTTTTGTTTCATTCTGTTGAAAAGTTACGTAGTATTAGCACTAGTAAGTTATATTGCCCAAAACACCGTCTCAACTGTGTTAAGTTCCAAAATTCACAGCTCCATCGTTCATGTTGCTTTCTGCTTCCTGATAGTCATCTTTACCGAATCGCTTGTGTACTCCTAAAGTTCTCAGGTTAGTCTATTGAGTAAATAATTATGGATCACATTTAGTTGGTCAGGTTTGTTGGACAGTTTACGGTGGCAGTGGAATTGTTGCGTTTCAAGGTATGGAATGAGGTATAGAGTAGTGTAGTTTATACGACTGGTAACGACATGGCCGGTACGACTGGAAAAGTTCATCCATGTTACTTGCCTTAGTATATTAGACCAAGTTGTAGTCAGTAGGTTTACGTGGTGGTTATTGTGAATTCCTACGAATCCAGCAATTGTATAGTCCTTGGTGTAATGTAGGCCTGAATGTTAGGATGCTCATTTGTCTTGAGATTCACAATGGGACCAATTGCTGTGCGGATAAGGCAGCATACTTCGCTACCCGAAATACATATTGGGAACGTTGGTATTCTTGCTGAAATCCGAACGCAAGTGTACTCCGTTTAAAAACCGCGTACTCTTACGCTCGTCACTCAGATGTCTCGGCTCGATTCTTACCCTCAATGAAGTTGGGTGCGCAACCTAGTGGTCTGGATAGAAAAAAGGAATCTCAGAGGGAGTCGAGCTGCTTAGGTCTGGGACTTCCATACCAACGGTTGAAATGTATCCGGATTATTAGTACCTGACCTGAAAACTCTTCTATCTTACAGCACGTAGTCCTAAATTATGCGAATCAGGACACGACTTTTGTCCCCCGGTGTACGCGATGGCAATCCACCCGGACTTCTATCGCCACAATCTTACACTTCTAAATTAGCATCGAACACTATCTTCCCATTATTAAGATTGGGTAAATTGGCCTATCTTCAGTAGTGCGAATTTATCAAAACACCTATCGATGCTAGATATACGGTTCTTTGACTTTCGACGCGTTTAACCATGTAAGCACTCGCCATTTTCTCAATACATGGTCTCTTACAGTTGTCGTTAGTCAATACACTGAAATTCTATAAAACAAATTAGTTTTCGTCAGGTATGTCCCTAATGGACTAGTTTGGCATTCTCGCGAAACGTTCTTTTGAAAAGTATCTGTCAATTTCGGAGGTCTTACTGAAGTACTTGTGTAATACTAGGTGTACGGATCTTAATGACTACCACTTCTAATTATAAGTCCCAATATACTGACTGAGTATGTCTCATAGAGAATCAAAAGATAATCATTCTTTAGGTCTTTCTATCAAAACTTCTATCAGTTTAGATTACATGTGCCCGAAAATTGTCCAACTCATAAGGCCAACATGCACTGATAGTGCGGTGTGAGCTACTTATAAGTAGTATATGACGTGAGTGTCAATGTAATGTCTGGCAGCAGAAGATGGGGGAAGATCAAGAAAGGAAGAGTTAGAAAACAATGGAATTTGTATGAAACGCATGAAAAGTGACAATGGATTGATGTTTTGCAACAGGAACAGTCCAGTTCGATAAGATGAACTGATATTTTGCAAATGAACGATTTACGATATGGTTTTCCGATTTTACTGAGTAACTCTGTAAATTTTCTCTAAATACAATTCGGTTGCCCCACTTGTGTTCTCGTTCACTACAATAGCTACTTCATATCTGGTAAGATAAGAATTTGTAAGCAGTTTCATCAACTTTAGTCCTGCAGTAAATTTGTGAATGTCAAATACACAACCATAAATAAAATTCACAATAGCTACAGTAAGGTAATCATTATGCTAGAGGAAACTCTACAATAATTCTATGCTCTCGATCAAGTTACAGACAAAACTGGTAGTTCAAGTTGTTGAATGGAATGTATACAGTTTTTTTAATACTTAGTAGTTATAGGCAACCAGCGTATATCTAGATTTCGTTCAACTAGACATATTTTGAATCTTAGTGGAGTTTCTTGTAGAATTCAATCTAAGCGTCGCTATTACAGACGTTACTCATTGGATTATTCAAAAAAAATAAAACTAATCTAGGAGTAATATCAGTCCATAAGGATGTAATATGTAAATATGTTCGTATCCGGTCGATAATTATCAAACATGTCTATCCATTCATTCCATACTGATATTGTAACATTCAGCTAGTTAGCTTTGAGTCTAATATGAAAATATGTTGTATCTTTGAAGGATTACGAAAAGCACGGTATTTGAAAGAATCTGAAAAAATAGAATATATGAGTTAACGATTCTGTAATCATGTAAAAAACTATAAATATAATACAGAAATCAATCGATAAGAGTTGTGTAATCATGCAAGCGTGGAATTGAAGAACCATGTACTGCTCATCACTTTCCATTAAAATTTCTATAGTTACTGAGATTTAAGGCAGAATGTTTTGATAAATTACTATTATTTCATGTACTACTATTAATGAATGATAACTCAGTGGGAATTTTCACAGTATAGTCAACCGATGTTGGAGAAAAAGGTCGTCCGAAAGTAGCGGACATGGTGTCATGCCTCGGGGGAGCGGGCATCAGATGCCCTGTCCGACCTTGTGCAGGGGACTGCCAACCATCTTGCCTTTTCTAATGCACCTTTACCTTAAAATAGATTTTACTTATTAGTAGTAATGAATAAAAGTGTACGTCGATTGTTACTCAGTATCTGACACAATCAATATAAGAGTTGTGAATTGATTAAAGATGGAAATTTATTAAATTGAACAGATAGATGGCAAAGAAGTTTTGATACAAGTGATTACTGTAATCATTAGATTTAGCAAAAATGATGTTCAATGTTATTTATTGATTAAAATTATATATAGAAATGATTTTTTTTTCCTACTGTTAGATTTTTTACCATTTCTAATCAGTTATATGGTCATGTATTTAAAAGTTTCTTGTAAAATAAATAACAGTTTAAACATTCTCAGAGAAAGGTACTGTTCTTCTACTAAATCATATACTCTCTCTCTCTCTGTTCATGGTATAGAACAAGTTCATAATCTATTCTGTTCAATATTAAAGTATGATGAGTAAGTTGTCATAGTTTATCAGTGTATACTTACTTTACTAATAGATTTCTAATGACCTTTCCAAAGTTTAACTTGTTGTATTTTATCACGTTATTTACAACGTCAGATAATTTGTAAAAGAAATTAAGATTGTCCAATATATTAGTAATCAATAAATGGTATATTAGTCATAATATAACATTTTTACTGTTTGTTCATTGAAGTTTACGAGCGAAAATAAACAAACAAACGAAGTAAAACAATTGTCATTAAATAGTTTCAATTAATGTGTTTAGGTGATTCCATATCACGTATACTGTTTTAATGATAATTACTTAAAAGATCTATTGTCAAGAAGCTGTAGGAAGGAATCAAAGCCATCATCCAGAAGATACAAGTGTTTATTAACAGTTGTCTACACAAAATACTTCGGATTCGTTGGCCAGACACCATTAGCAACAACGTACTGTCAGTCAGTCAGTCAGTCAGTTGCAACGTAGAACTTCGTACGTAAGTACATCAGTTCATGTCGCCATACCACATCAGCACAGAGATATCATTGTCAGTTCAAATCCAATATTAGAAGAAGAGGTAGTCAAGGTATTATTAGAAGTAATCGGAGAGGTTAGGATTAGAAGATATTATTCAGGAAGTATGATTCAGTGAGAAAAGTTTAGAAAGTCAAAACTAGAAGTGTTGAAGAATCCAGAAGATAAGGATTTGAGAGAACACAAAGAATAAATGCACCAGCGCCATTGCGAATGATTTTGAGTCATGTCACTCAAGGTCTCTAACGACGTACTGTGGGAAAGAACAAACCAGATTCCAATGGAGGAGGAAATCAGAAAGAAGCGGTGAAAGTGGATAGGACACACACACCTAACTGCGTCACAAGACAAGCCCTCACATGGAACCTTCAAGGCCAAAGTAAAAGAGGAAGGCCAAGGAACATATTACGTCGAGAAACAGAGAAAGACATGAGGAGAATGAACAACAGTTGGACAGAACTGGAGATGGAAGCCCAAGACAGAGTTGGTTTGCGAAAATTGGTTGGCGGCCTATGCTCCATTGGGGTTAACAGGCGTAAGTAAAAGTAATTAAGTGTAGGAACGAATAATTATTCCAATTAGAATCCAACCACAAAATCAACCTGCTTTTCAGTCATTATGGTCGTGTTCAGTTTGAAAACCAAATACTCATCATCTCAGTCATTGTAGAATTGAACAATTGAACAATTATTATTATTATTATTATTATTATTATTATTATTATTATTATTATTATTATTATTATTATTAGTTGTAACGGTTCATTGTTTTTCTGCTCTTAATATTTCAAAACAAACTAATAATATTCTCTTTCCCTTTCTCTATCTCTGTGTATACGAAGAGTATTAGGAGAAATATAAAGGCATTCAACTAAAGACGTAATATAACTAACTGTACATGATTAACAGTTTGGTTATAATTATCATCAGTCGAGTGAATATGCCTACAGAGATTGACTACATTCAGTCTTTAATGTCAGTGCATGAAGTCACTGACAAGTGGACTGAGTCATGTTGATAGATGTAAGCTACCTGGTTGGGATCCGCAAGATGATACTAACCGATGGTTAGAGACCTTGAACGACATGGCTCAGAATCGTTTGCAATGGCACAGGTGCATCCACTCTTTGTGTTCTATGAAATTCTAAGCTTCTGTATTCCTCATAATCTCTACCTTTCTCCTTCTAAATTTATCTCACTGAATTATACTTCTCGAATCATATCTTCGCTCCCTAATCTTCTCCATTACTGCTAATACTTCTATTATTGCTATCACTATTGGATTTGAACGGACAGTTGCGTCTCTGTGCTGATGTGGTATGGCAACCTGAACTCATGTACTTATGTACGAAGTTCTGCGTTGTATCTGTCTGTCTGTCTGTCTGAATG